ATAAGATAGGAGTAACAGAGTTAAGGGCTGCCTCCTCAGAAATCGATATCGGCATCCTGTGAACCGATCGAGCTGAAATTTTGTTTGTGAATAGATACTAACCTAACTTAAAAACGTTCAAAGTTTCATCCAAACAATTTTTTCAGAAAAAAAGATATTAATATTTTCGTGCAAAAGAAGTAGGTGTTACGAAAAATGTATCTCCTCCCACAATTTCTATTCGATCGAGCTCGGAGTGGCATCAATCGATAGAGAAATATTTTTTCTACAAATCCATGTAACAGTTTTTCGAAATTTTCTTTTTTAGTGGCGAAGTTTGTAAAATACTACACAATTCTCTTTTTTGCTTCTACTTCGCACACTTGAAAATTCGATATTTAAATTATGGAATCGAAATTCAAGAAAAGCTTAGATGCGATTGTAGAGTTTTATTTTCTCTTTCGAATGACACCAAATTCGATTCTTTCTGGCGAATATTGTGGGACTAGAGTCATTTTTATCGTTGACTGTCGTCAATGAAACGAAAGGCGAGAGAAGAACGAAACAACGTTGCGAACGTCATAATCGATGTTGTTTTTTTATGTAAAAGTAAACATGAGATATCATTACAAAATCGTCAAAAATCTCTCGATTTTTGCATTTTGTTTGTAGATTTAGACTAGATTTGTGTTTATTTCTATTTTTACAGTGCTTGTAACGACAAATACTGAATGGCCGACAAGTTCTTTTAGAAGATCCAGTATCTTTACACGAACGATGGGGCTTCTAGAAAAATCGCTGTAAAACCATGACGGAGTGATATTTCCATGAAACCTATACATATTCGGGAAGCTCTTTCTTCGGGCTACAAGACTAGCTGAAAATCGATTTTCTGATGGGGATGGGCCTTAATCAGCAGAATTGATTAAAATGTTTTGATATAAAGCAGTAACTAGGAGTGGCGCATTTGCTTTTAGTTACTTTTTTGGCCATTGTGAATGATGTTCTGAAAGCCCTAGCATATTCGGTCGTATGTTTTATTCTGTAGACGTGACTCTCACCTTCAGATAAAACTTTCTTCTGAAAACGATGCTCTATGTTGTCCATGTACGAAGTCATGGGCCGGATAGAAACTAGTTACTTTGAAAAGTAACTACTTTTTAGCTAACAAGGTTTAATCTACATCCATTTATGAGCGATAGGGAAATATATCTTGGGAACAAAGTTGTAGCTCGAGTTGAGATCTACAATTCAGAAATAAAATTTTAGAACGAATACGTTCAGCTACCGTGAAAATCAATCAGCACTAGAAAAATATATGAAAGTAACTACTGCCACCCCTAGCAGTAACAGTCATTTGTGTAGAATTTTGAAAGATGAAAGAGAATGAGGAAGAGACATGTGACGATCTTTTTCGCATGCGCTGTACGCATGCTATTTGTCCTTACTTCGGTGCGTTTTTATGTACTTTGGCATTATCCTTCCTTCCTTTCTGTCGAGCGAGGGATATATAAACGTGTGTTCTGTATTAGAACGAGGCAATTGATGATAGGAAGAAATAAAGAATGACATGATTCCATCGGGATACACATCTCTTCCATCAGAAACCGTCACAAGACAGCTGAAGAAAAACTCGTTTGTTGATTTGGATGAGTTGGCTTTAAGCATTCTTGGCGACCAACTTAATGCTACGCAAACTGAACATTAGAATGATTCTCCTAGTCTATATATGCCTTCCCATTCTCTCACTACCTGTATCCTATACAATTATATCTGTCTATGGATTCACATATGATGCTAATGACTGTATATAGAAAATATTGATAATACTAAGATTAAAGAATTGATAAATTAATAAAACTGATAAAACAACAGGCTGTTATTTATTATATACTTACCGTATAAACATTGCCAATAAATAAAATTCTACTTCGAATCAATTTTGTTGCATACCAAAAAGCTATTTTCGAAATAGATAAAATTACTAAATATCAAGTCATCAACATACTTAATGCATGTAAACCTCGATAAAGAAATACTTGTATACCACGAGTAATACCATCAATTGTATATTTTCTAATGTTACATTTCTTAGCATCATCAAGATGTTTTTCATATCTTAAAATACAAATTAAATTACAAATCAAATACTTAAAATTTAGAAACCTTTGCATCTCTCTTCCTTGACCATTATAAGAAAAAACAGTACGAATAGAACTAATAACCTCTTCAGCAATTACACCAGCTTTTCCATGTGCTCGTAATTCAACTAAAGACATCTTTGTAATGATCTGTAAAAGTAAAAATTCATATACTTTATTAATATATAGGGACTTTCTCTTAAAATATAACTGACATTTGATGTAATAATGAATGCTGCAAGTATTAACGGTGATACAGCTATCATAACTATTGTTAATTGCCATCCAAAAATAAAACCTATACAATTAAGTAATTGAAGAAATTATTTTACTGATAAATAGTTTTATTAAACCAAAACATACCAACAATTAGACTACTTAAAATATTTGAAAATATTTCTATAATAAAACCAAGTTTATCACCGAGACCGTCACGGATTTTATTAACATCATCGATTAAAAGTGAATTAAGTTCACCAGTTTTATGTTTATCAAAATAAACAATATCTTTTTTTAGAATTGCTTCAAATAATCTTCGTTTTATATTTCGACTTTGTCGTTCAGCTGTTATGTTAAAGAATGTTATTCGAATATATTCACAGATAAGACTAATAAAACCAATTATAACCAGAAATATCACCTGATTTTTTGTTTGATCTTTGAAATTATAATTATTACTAGTGAAATTTGTATTAGTAAAATTACATAATCTAAATAGAAGTTTTTTTTCTTGTTTTTCTTTATAAAATAAGTAAATAGATTCTTACGACTGTAATCTGTAGAAATTCGTCGAAGTCAGTTCTATTTCTGATGGACAATATTGTTGGCCAAGTGAAGTGAGATTCATGGAACACAAGTTTGATGATCGATCAGTAAACGAATTGATTGAATTACCAAACACAACCACTTGTATTGGCAAAATAACACCAACACAACATGAAGCCATCGTTGCCAATAATATATAAAATATATCGATAAGAGTAGCATATCGAAACTAAAATGTATTTAATAAAAACCAGAAATCAGGTAATAGTTGTGCTTCAGTTGATTTTACCAAATTCCGAAGACTTGTTCCCACTTTTAATCGTTGCCAAAAGACCAATGTCGATGATTTTTTTTCTCTCAAACACGAAATTATTCTACAAAATTTTATAAGAGAAATTATAACTATTTAAATTAGTATACTTATTATCACTGATTTTATTCGATTGTTTATCGAGAATAATATCATTATTTGTTGTAGTATCCATTCTTTCACAATAGCTTTAATCGAAACAGTTGTGTTTTAATCATTGATCTATAATAATAAAACGGCACAGTGCGTATAATAGCAATTGATATTGTGAAGCATACCTATATATCTATACGTATGTTTAGAACAGAAGAGAAAAAAAGTATATATACTTTCTTACCGACGCTTTTTCTCTAATATAGCGACAGAAAATGCGTACTTTATTTTATGACTTTTCGCGCTCGTCCATTTTATATGCGGGGAATCCACGAAAAATAGGGATACGTTACTGAACACTGACAGCACGACCACTTGTTCACTAAAACACTAAATCCAGTGACACTGGACTGAAGGTACTGCGACACCAGGGTTCCCGACTGTTTTTTAAAGTGGGGCGGGGAGCTAAAATTTTCCAGAAACAGGGAAAAAAGTTAAGTATAAAAATAAGGAGTGACATTATAAGATGAAGACAAAAAAACCTGTACGCCTCTTGGGGAGGGGGGGGGGGGCGGTGAGAGGGTAGTCCCCTCCCCTTAACCGGGAACCCTGTACAACACAGGATACTGTTTTACCGACTTTTACTAATTCATATCGACTTCCTAGACCTATTTATATCAGTAAAATTCGATATTTTAGCGCTCTGTATCAGTAAATGCATAGATACTGAACTCGATGATATGGTCTTAAAAAGACTCTGTAAAAAATGCTGTCATACTGAACCATAAAAGATTCTAGATTTGGGTACCATTTTCAGAACCTTCGAAGGTTCAAGCAAAATCCAGTTTTTGTCCAAAACATTATTCGATTCTCCTAAAAATGGTTCTAGCCTTTCAGAGAACAACTCATTTGAGTCCCTTTATCTTCCACTATCTATTGGTTCTATACCTGACTACTTACCCTTATCTTTTACCCGCCAATTCTATACCCTAAGCTTGTTTATAACTAACTATTTCTAATCCTAATCTTAACCTTATTCTTAACTTATCATTAAGTATGTATACCTAAGCGTATTCCATAGCACCCACTTCTATTCTTAATTTGAACTTTATCCTAAATAAAAGGGTGATGGTTTAACAAAGAACCATTTTAAATCGCTGACAATTGTTGAAACGAAAGGTAGTGCAATGTAAAAAATTTTTCTGCATGGCTTGAACTATCTTAATCTAGTGATGCAACCCTACACTGAAAAAAATAAGGTATTCTACAAAACCTATTAAAAATGTTTGGTAGGTGTCGAGAGCTTCCAAATATGTCGGTATGTTCAAAAAAATGGTTTTCAAAAATCTGCGAAACCAAAAAAAGATCGGTCGGCGGGCACACGCTCCAAACCCTCATCACGGAACTTTTTTAAGTTTCGCCACAAAATACGAAATCTTAATGGCTTCGTATAAAACCATAGTACGGAACCTTAAGGTTCCGCATTTCCCGGCGAATCTTTATGGGGGACGTGCGAAACTTAAAAAGGTTTCGAGACAATGGTTCGGAGCGTATGCCCGCGCATCGATCCTTTTTGGTTGCGCAGATTTTTGAAAACCATCTTTTTCAACATATCGACACATTTGGAAGCTTTGAGCATCTACGGAACTTTTTTGACGGGCTCGGTAGAATACCTTTTTTTTCAGTACGACTGTTTTTTCTTTCATCGGAATCGGGATTAGGACGGGATGAAAACACTGTGCCGGGTGTAACTTTATCATTTCGCGATACTAGTTCAATCTGTTCCACAATTTAGTAGAATTTACTGTAAAAACAAAACTAGGCGACACATGCATTCATGTGGAAAATATTCAGAATTAATCAACAAATAGTATGATTGAAGAGAGAATTTATAATATTAGAATCCATATTTTGACGTTTTTCTTCCACTAACAAACAAGTAAAGCTCGTCGAGGAGACTCGCTTAGCCCTTGACCGATTCTCTTTTTACTCCACTGTTTTCATAAGGATCTTAGAAAAGTGTATCAAATCATTTATCTCACAGTCGGTCGTCGGCGTCCCCGCGGTCCGCCACTTCCAACTACTCGATATTGTGTATAGTATGTAGAGCCTGCTCAAATGGCAGGTGTCTTTCTCTCCGACACTTCGCCAACAACCTAATTATTTGAATAAAATCATATATAAAGACAGATTTCAGTTGGAATATGGTTTTGATTTACTAAAGATATTGAAAGAAAGCTTGCACTGATCCTCATATATCCACTCATACAATAAAATGATCTAATTTATTCGATCCCTGAATCGTGCATCCTACACTGGTAAAAAAATAGGCAGAATAAAAAACCTTTTTCAGGGATTTATTAAGCCTGCAATTTGTATCTAGGGTATGTTATACGTTGCACTTTCATGAACCCACGAAAACCGCTTTTCTTTCTTACCGTTCTTCCAAAGGGTACATTGGCAAATCTTGGAAAGGTATTTTAATGCTCATTTACCCCAAGGGGTTTGTGAAAATGCAACATATAAGAATCCCTTACAGCATTTATGAAAAAAAGGTTTACGAGAAGGTAGATAACACTCAATGAACCTAAAATGGGTTCATGTCGCGACGATCAATCCTTTTCGAGGGTTCATAAATCGACTCTTTTTTCCAGTGTAGATATCCAATTTGTCAGCTTTGCGCCGCGCGATATCTGGTTCAAGAGCTTTGCTGTCGATCAGTTCGATCGATCTCCCAACACTGTTCATGAAGTTTCGGTGAATGTTGACCTTGCATCTGAATATAAACACACATCATTGAAGCTATTTTTTTATCTCACATGACTTTTCTTTCAGACGAGGGAACATACAATTAGTCCTTCTACATGTTCTCAGTAACCTATTAGATTAGTCAAATTATTGATCTTGTGAATTTCAACGTAAGGTTATTCGCTCAACATCCAAAAATGTTATTCGGTTAACCTTTGAACCTAACCCGACAGATATTTCTTTGAATTTCGAACGTTTTCGGAAAAATGTTTTCTTGATCTTTGGCCCTGACATAGACAAACAAACATGCAAACTATTTTTTACATGTGACCCTCATTTCAGTCGAGGGAATAACCTCTTTGTGTCAAGGATAGCGGTGCGAAAGTAAACTCTCGACAACATTTTGCCATGACTACCCTATAGCTCTTCGAAGATTCGAAATTTTTCAGCGATACGATGCTTGTACGCAATATGAGTAATGGAATCCTTCCAAATGGTGCGCTTTTTCGTTTTTATGAATTTTCGCAAAATGTTTTTTTGACCTTGACACCAACACACATACAAACTATTTTGTTTCGGATGATCCTCCTTTCAGACGACGGAGCTATACTATCATGAAATGATATGCTACTGTACGTCTCATTTGAATTCTCTTTTTAGAAATCACTTTTGCTGATTTAAAATAATCGACATTAAACAAGACCGGTACGAGTTATCCTTTTGAAGATGAAGATCGGAATCGGGACCTCGAGATAGGATTTTCCCGGGACCGGCACTGAAACTGATACTATATAAGCTGAATATAATCGGAATCGGGACGGAAAAAACGGGTCCCACAAGACCCTACATGAGATATGAGTTGCGCTAGTCTGGAAATTTTTTTGTCCATCTTTGCTATGATAACGTGCTGTTATAGATAAGCTTTCTCATGATCATTGTAATATTTATTCGCTGTTAAAGGAAAAGAGCTTGCCAGCGCAATCTCTTACGGGATTAAAAATGTGAAATACGATCATTTCAGTCTTTCTGTTCTGATAGAGCTTTATAATTTGTGTAGGTTCTTTCTGAGGAATCCGTATAATCTGGATAGATTTGAGTTTGAGCCGTGCAATAAGAGTAGTATTTGGCTGAGGTGTTTATCAGTAGCGTGCACTAGTATTTTTAATTCGCTCGTAATGATTTCTACGGAAGACCAACCGAGATTTTCAACACACGGTTCAGTACCGTTTAAATTTAGTATAAAATTATGACGAGGTGGGGGGAGGCAAAAGTGGCAAGTTACTGGCATACGTTTTGTCGCCTCCCCTTCGTCGTAGTTGTGAATTGGCACCTTATATCAAGACGGCTCTGTCACGGCCTGGGAGAGAGCGCGAAGATGGATCCAAAATTCTGCCCTCTAACACTTCAACACTCATTTTCAGATCGTATTGCACAAAATAGATACATAAATCAATTTGCAGACTATCCAGGACAGCGAAGGCTGATTTTACGCCGTGTCTACGTCGTGAAAAGCGCGTTGAAACGTATGCTTTAACGTTCTAAGAACGAGCTTTATTTTGTGGCAAAATAAATCTTTCCGTGCAATCGTGTTCGATATCGGCTTTTCCCTACGAAATTTCTACGCCATCTAAACGCATTTTTAATAATACAAATGTGCGCTTTTCGCGACGTAGCTAAGAGTTTTTTTACTGATTATGTCGGCCTGAGTAAAAGTTTAAACTAGCTTTCTTAAAGGATGATATTTATTGACGCAATTTGCATAGCCAGAATTTTCAGACGAAATGGCACATCTGTACTTTTCCTACTTTTTACCAAAAGCTGCTTTCCTTTTTCTTAAAAACTGTGATCGAAGGTCAGAGCTCACTTTCAATATAGTACAAACCTGCACAAAAGATGAAATATTTTCTGATCGATAAAGTTGTTATCTTTCTTTGACAATGTATAGAGTTTATCAAAATTATAGACACCTTGATCACAAATGTACTTCCCCATTTTCTGAGCATTGTTTAACCACTGGTCCTTTTGCATATCTATATACATAATGTGCAGTGTGTGTGCGTGTTTCCACGTACAAAGCCAAGTAACAGCCGAAAGGTGAAGCTTCGAGAGTTTGATCCATTCTACATCATTCTAGAATGACGTGTGCATGCTTAAGGTTCCGAAGATGTTCTGGAACTTTCCAGATCTTTCTGGAAGGTTTACGAGGTATTTGCATAAAAATGCTAGATTAAGGGTTAAAAGTGAAAAATTAACGCTGATAAGAGATGGGTGTTGTTGAAAGAGGCCTCTAGAAAGTTCTAGAAGTTGCTACTTTTTCAAGATATTCTAGTACGA